GTTTATTAGATATAAACATTTAAAGTTTCAAATTTTTGAGTTAATATATAGGTATAATACACTAGGGATTACAAATACAGGTAGCTAATTGATTTTTTATGACATCGATATTAGCAGGTACACAGCATTGTTATTATCAATGATAGTAAGGTACATTGTTGTGAGTTTATAAGTACACTAACTGTACTGTAAAAAGTATATCTATTGATAGTCATAATTGATAATAAACAATCCGTGACTGTGATAGCAATATCATAAAAAACCAATTAGCTACCTGTATTTGTAATCCCTTGTGTATTATACCTATATATTAACTCAAAAATTTGAAACTTTAAATGTTTATATCTAATAAACAAATTAAGTTTTATTAAAAATTCAAATGCCATTTATTATTGAATTTTATTGAAACATTTTATAAAATATTTTATCAAACATTTTATTGAATTAAAAACTCAAACATTTTATTAAATTAAAAATATGTGTTACCATTTAAAAAAACAAAGTTGACACTTTGTATATATATAAAAATACATTTTTTTTTTTTTGAGAATTTTAAAATATGCGTTTCATAATAGGTTCAGTTTTAGGGCAACCATGGACTAACTTACTGTATTCAATGAAAGATGAATTTGTTCCTCGTGTTGTAAATGATGTTGATATTAAGGTATGGATAGCATTTTATTTTACTACTTTGTGATATTAACTGAATATCGCTTGGTGTTATTTTTAAAGTCACCTAAACAAATGTTCGATTTAGCCATTGGCTTTTATTCTTCTCTTGGAATGGGCATTTTACCAAAAACTGTATGGAGTCGTTCAATTTTCGAAAAGAACAGTAGTTTTGCTGATTGTCAAGCTACAGCTTGGGATCTGTACAAAGATAATGACTTTAGGTAATCAATATCGTTTATTTTTTGTATTTCATTTTTAAAATATTTAAATTAAATACTGATTTATTTTTATGTTGCTAGAATTAAAATGTGCTCCAAGAGTAGAGCAGAAGATTTCTATACACTTCATACTCTAATTGGATTTGTTTATTATTTTATGGCATATAAAAAACTACCAGTTGTACATCAGCGAACACCAGATGCTGGTAACGTAACTAAAAATTTTTTTTTCAAAGTTCTTTATAAAACTTTGTAGATATAACAACTGCCATATAATTGAGGTGTAAAATTCGAATAGAACGATTTGAATTTATCGTTTTGCAAATAAAAGAAAATTTGAAAGCTTTCATATTATAAAAAAATATTAAATAGATAATTTTTATTTAAAACGCAAACTTAAAGAAAAAATTTATAATTTACTATCAATCGAATCTAATAAACATTTCCATATTCTTACCGAATAAAAATAACTTTTATATTCGTTCTGATATACTTGGTTAACAGCAAATTTTAATATGGTACTTATGAATTTTAATCTTTGAATAATAAAATCTTTATCATTTAAATAGAATTTATTTTTAATTAAAAATAAATGTTTTTATAGTATTCACTGAGAGCCTGATTAATGCACTAGTGCTGTCAGTTCATTACCAAGATTTTATAGATAGGTATTCAAGTAGCCCATCTAGTAGACAGAATTTTCTATTGCAAATGGCTTTGAAAAAAGTGTCGATCATACCATTTGCTTACGCTCTTGAACATTGGCGTTGGGCAGTAAAACCACCCTTTGCGCCAAAATTTATGAACGATATCTGGTGGAGTATAAGGTTTTTTCGTTTATTTATTATTTAATATTATTTATAGTCAAACCTTAGTTTTTAATTTGCATAGAGTTCCTTTTGATTGGAAAAAATTGTAATATTAAACTAAGAACTCAGTAATCAGTTTCATACATAAAATTATTTTATGAATCTATTTCTCGATTTATCTGGTTTTACTGTATATAAAAAAAACTTATAAATTATATACATTTTTTTTCTAAAGATTAAAATATGAAGGAGTAACTTCACCAATATCGAAAGAAAAAGATAAATCAGCAAACAGCAATTATAAGCCTTTTGATCCAAGTGCTTCATACAATGTTTTGATGGAAATTCCTCCAATTAAGTGAGCATTTTAAGAAATCTTGTTATAATAATTTAATCTTATAAGTATTAACAAGTTTTATTTATAATCATGACCCAAATTTGGTATCACTTATAAATTTAATCAAAACTACCATAGAGTAATCAGTTTATTCAGGATTTTTCAAAATAATGTGTATTTAGAAAAAAATATTATCAGTTAGAATTAATTTTGGGGTCGCTAAAATTTTGGTGCCTGCCGGCTCCCGTAATCAAATCAAGTCTTTTTTGGATAGATACTTTACATCCAAACACCCAAAGCAAAGAACTAGCTTCAGACCTAAATGACAAAGCTTATAACTTTTGATACAATAAAAAATTTTTTGATTTTTTTTTTTTAATAACTATTGCCTTCTTAGACTTAAAATATATTTTTTACTATTTATTAAAATTTTTATTTTTTTTTTTTAATTTGAAAATAATAAATTTTTAATCCTTTTTTTTGAAAAAAAAATTTGATGGGTCAATAACAAATTTAGAACAAATAATTATTGAGTTACAAGTATTTTCACTTAAAGAGTGTGTGGATATTTAGTGAGGGGGAGTGCAGTTCGTACTAATGTAAGTATACTCCACTCACGTTCCATCAACATTTTTGTAATTAACGGACTAATTATATGACTCTTTATATGACTTAAAAAAATCAATAAAAAAAAATTATAGTGTTATGTAATTTTATTCAATTTTAGTTTGTACTACTGTATATTCCTTTTATTTCTGTCGTCTAAAGACCTCAATTGTCGAAGCCTTAATAAATATTAAAAATAATAATAATAATAATATATTATTATTATATTAATATATTAATAATATATTTATATATTTACTTAAACTCTGATTTTAATTTCTATATAATCAAAACTAATTAAGTAATGAAAAAATTTCACATTTATTTAAACATTTGGTTTTTCAATTTTTATAACAATTATTTTTAATATTCATAACAGAGATAATTAAAACACTTCTCTAAATAATAGAGGTAAGCTAACCTATTTTTTAAAGATTGTTTTCATTTTTAATTGTTATGTGAATAGGTATTTTTTGCAACCAATAGTAGAATTTCAGTTTTTCAAATCTCTGTGTATTGCTTGCGGAGAGTATGATTCAAAACATTCGGATACAAGACCATTGTACCAGTGCAATTTAAGAGGTTGCAAAAAAATTGGAAAATTGCTAAAGTAAACCATTATTTAATTAAAAATTCATTTATCAACTGTATAGATAAAATGTTTACTATAACATTAAGATTGGTGATGTCAAAAGGGACATCAGCTAAATGGTCAACGTTATTTGAAGCAATTGTAGGCCATACACGAATAGATGCAAGTCCAATAATGGAATATTTTCAATCCCTCAATGAAAGTTTATCTATAATTAATAACCAAACAAACGAATACTTGGGATGGAAAACACCTCTTTCTTAGTATTATATTGTAAATTTTTATGTTTGTTACAATTTTTACTGTTTTTATTAACTTTAAGCTGTTTAAACTTGATATTTTTGTGACTAGTTCTGACAATATTATAGTGTTAAATAATTTATAAATATTATATATTGGTGTTTGTTAAAAATAAATAAATATATTCAAATAATAATGAGATAAATTTTTATATAATTTACTTGATATGTACATAAAAAAGACTACAAAGAACACTAACATGTAAAAAAGTAGTATTAAGTATCTTTCATAATTTACTACAAATAAATCAACAAATTAAAAAATACAGCAAACAAAAAAATCTTCAAACGATGAAATGGTTGAATGCATAGAAGGATGGGATGACGTGGTAATCAATGAAATTATACCAAAAGGCAACAATAAATATACAAAGTGATTTCTTTTTCATAATCCACTAAATTCCTTACAGAATAATTGTTATTTATTAAGAGGTATAATTCCAAAAAAATATGTACAATCGAAAAATTATTCTCATTCAAAGTAATGTCCCAC